ATCGATCAATTTCGACTCGTTTCTCCCTCGCCCTCGTCGTTGTTCTCCTCGTTTTCTCCCGACATCTCCTCTAGCGACTTCCCCTTCGACTCTGGCACCAAGAAAGTGAACAAAAGCCCCAAGAGATTAACAACACCCAACAATATCAACGAGTTCTTCACCCCGATTCCAGCCGGGTAACCGGGATCCGCCTTAGCCGGGTCCTGATTCTGCGCCAAGTACAAAAACCCAAAAGCTCCAACAATTGCCCCGAGCTTCCCTGCCGCGGCCGATATTCCATGGCAAGTCGACCGGAGCCGAGCAGGAAATATCTCGGCGGGGACCACAAAAGTCGTTGCGTTGGGCCCGAAATTGGCAAAGAAGAAAGTCAACGAGTACATAACCACGAACCCGATCCGGTTATCGGGCTTTATCCAATGATTATACGGAAATGCCAACGCGAACATGAACACGGTCATGAAGAAGAACCCGATGAGTTGAATCGCAAACCTCCCGATCACGTCTATTAGGGCCACCGTGAACCAGTATCCCGGGACCGTACTGCAGAGCGCGATTAATGTCTGCGCCCGAGCGATGGTGAAAACCTCCCGAATCGCACTCATCGTCTTCGCCTTGGGAATCCACCCTATGGCACTGAAGTCCCACAATTTTTTAGCATTTTTTCACTTCCAAAATGAAATATAGCCACAATGTTGATTTCAATGATGAAATATAGTCCTATAAAATGACACATTTACTCTTACTACCAGAAACCGCTTCTAGGAAATCTGAGACTCCAGAAATGGTTTCTAGACTGTCTAGAAATTATTTCTGGAACCCCAGATTCTCTAGAAACCATTTCTCATTTCTGAAGTCTGAGATTCCCTAGAAACAGTTTCTAATTTCTAGTAGTAAAGGTAATTATGTTGCGGGNAAAAAAAAAAAAGTAACTATGTCATTTCTGAAGTTCCAGATTCTTATTCTTCTAGTAAGGTTAATTGAGTCATTTCATACTACAGAATGGCTATATTTCATACTTATGCAAAAAGTGACTATATCTCATCGTTTACAAAACAATAACACTATTTACCAGTATTATTATTACCTGAAAATATCTTTCTGAAACAGATTCTGACTGTAGAAAGCGATGTCGAGGAGGAACCACGTGCTCGTAGTCCCGAGGAGATGAAGCCCGTGCCGCTTTAGAAACTCCCGCGAAAAAAGCCCGTACGCCGATTTCCTCTCGATCTTCTCCACCTTCGCCTGCTCGGCCTCGATATCCATGTTGAGAACCTTCGACATGTCGGAGGCCGCCTGCTTCGCGTCCTTGGCCACGAGCGCAGTGTATCGAGCTGTCTCAGGCATCTTCATCCTCGAGTAGAACGTGCAGAGCGCCGGGATGGCTCCCGCCATTAGTATGATCCTCCACACGTAATCGGCCTCTGGAGGGGTCGACCGAACAGGGTCGACCTCGTAAGCCGGCGACGGGTACCTCGACTCGAACGCGGCCGACATTACCATACCGAAAATGCCCCCGGCGAGAATCCCAAACCCTTGCATGGCGAAAACGGCGGCTATAAACGCGCCGCGCGTTTTCTTGTTGGCGTATTCGGACATGATCGTGGCGGATAAGGGGTAATCGCCGCCGATTCCGAATCCAAGCCAGAATCGGAAGAAGCAGAGAGTCGACATTACGGATTTCGGTGTGGAGCCGAAGGAGAGTCCAGAAGCGATGGAGCAAGCGCACATTAGGGCGAGGGTAGCGCCGTAAACTTTTTTGCGGCCGAGTTTGTCGCCGAGCCAGCCGAAGAAGAGCTGGCCGGCGAGGGTTCCGACGAGGGCGACGCCATTGACGGCGGAGGAGACGTTGGGGGGAAGGGAGCCGGGTTTGGGGGAGCCGGGGACGTGGTAGTAAATGCGGCCGAGCATTTTGGTGACGAGGGAGATGCAGAAGAGGTCGTAAGCGTCGGTGAAGAAGCCCATGCCGGAGATGATGATGGCGGTGAAGTGGTACCATTGGGTCTTGGCGGAGTCGAGGGCGGTTAGGACTTTCAGGTTGGTGGCTTTGTCGGCGGNATTATTTTAAGTTTGGGTTTCAATTGTTTAATAATTTTAGTGTAAATTAAAAAGGGAAAATTCTTTTTGACGCTGCGTGATAATAAATGTGTGTTAAGTTTTTGACACTGCGTGATAATAAGTTAACATTTTTTTACCCCTTAAAAAGTGCAAAAGGTTAAGAATGGATCAAACAACTGTTGCATATCAATTATAATTCAGGTGAAACAAACTATTTTTACAATTAAAAATATGATTTTTTGTAATTTTTTATAGATGTAATTGAAACAAAACGACAAAATATTTGGAAAACGAAAAATTTTATCTAAAACAACGAAACTAATTAAGGGAGTCTGAATTTCAAATGAAAAGGGTACTTTACAAGAAATAATATGCATCGTCCCATGAACAAAATATATAAATTTTATGTGTAAGTCGTGTTTTGTTATCATTAAATCAATAGATACTTATGTAAATGTACGTGTGATTCAACTGTAAAACACCTAAAATATTCTGATTAGAGCATTACGATTTTTTTTTTTCAACTTTTACTTGGAACATTCATCATCTCCATGATCAAATGATCGAATCTATATAACAAAAACCGTACAACCTACATGTAAGGAGATTTATCGAGTCTTTTATTGTTGGATCAATACACAAACACATATGGATGTGTGTGTGATTTAACATTAAAACACTTTGTCCACAAGATCGAACTTTCCGCACGCTAAATGTTAAAATAAAAAAAAAATGAAAACAAGAATTGTCTAACATGTTCATGACATAAAATTATCATTTAACCAACCAAAAAAAAAATTAAGAAAAAAAAAATTACAGATATTTGAATAGATTAGATTACCAACCTGGTGAACTTCTCACGCAGACGAGGAATTAAAGAGAAAATTAGAGAGAGAAAACAAGTTAAACTGTTTGTAATAATGATCCGAGGCTTTGTCTTATTTGGAGCGTTGTCGGTTGGCGGGTTTTATATCGTGCGGCCATTCGGCATGTTCGCCGGTATATTCCCTTCGTTTTAGCTTCAACATTTTGGACCAGTCAAATTTCCCTCTTTTTTCTCTAATTTGACCCTTTAATTTTTATTTTATTTTGGCACTAAACTCGTGATTTGAAGTTTGTGGATACTTAAATGCATAATATTATTACATTATGTAAATGTAATTTCTTTAGGTAATATTAATTAAATATCATTGTGGATGTATATAATGTCCAATTCTGTGATGCACATCTCTCCTTCGCAGAATATTCTGCTGAAAAATTCTTCTACATTGTAATCCAAGGGAAATCTTTCAATTTTTTTTTTGAATTGCAGACGTTTAACATGTGTTGATCTAATGATAAAAAATATATAGTACGGATTGTATGGTTGAACTCTTCATAAGCAACTACATCATCCCATCTAAGTTGTGGAGAAATTTTGAATGAAATATATATAGACAAATATGTAAAACAATTCACGATGTCTATCTTCAATTGCCAGTTGCCACTGAGCAAAAGTTTTCAAATTCGGTCTATTAAGGCACGACTTTTTATATTTTTGTAAGACTAGTTAGCTTTCAGTTGTACATTGGTTTGAGTTTTTAGTGAATCTATGCTTATTGAAAAAAAAAAAAAAATGAAGGGGATTGATTAATATATTTGTTGGTAGAGGTTATCTTATTTTAAAATTTTTGTTGTGGAATAACAATTGTTTTGCGCAAAGTTATATAATTGTCCACCTATCCAACGTGAACACATTAAGATCTACCACCAATTACGTACGCATCAAGATCTTGTGAACGTTCACTTATATATGCATCTGTATAGTATGTTAATCTTCTGTCACATCAGTTGGTAGACATATTAACATGTACCCATCACAGCTAGACGAGGGAGACTATTACATAAGTTTCTACCAAATTTTTCTTAAAGGATAAAGTAATTAATTTCTATACCACAAATTGAACCAAACGACTCATATCACATCACATATTCAACCATAAGAGCATCTCCAATGAAAAATTCTACATTTTGTGTTGTAGGACATGGAGAAAGAAAATTAAAAAGTTGTGTCTCTAATGGTTAGTGTTAATTGTGGTATTATTTGTGATGTGTAAAAATGTAATTAGTTGGAGAAGAGAGATAAATTGAATAAATAATATAATATATGATAGAAGTTGTTTAGAAGGACTCCTACATCTAGAAAGCCTTCTAGACATTTTTCATGTCACATCAAATTTTTTGTGCCATGTGGCAACAAAATAATAGAATGAAAAGACCATTGGAGATGGTCTAACAACACTCTTCATTCGGAATTGAAACGCAATTGATACTCAAAACATAATTGCTCCCCTTGTTTATTTGTCTTTTTTTAAGTCACCAGACTATCTATGTAATCTCTCTTTTTGTTTTTTTTAAAACAAGTACAGGTCCAAACACACATCCCTTTGAATTCACACAATCTACCAAAGGGGAAAAGATAACTAGCACAAAAAGGAGGATAATTCTTCCCTACTAATTATTTCTTTTTTAATGTATGGCAGGGTATTTTCTTAATTTTCTGTGGACATATATAACATCCCAATACTGTAGCTAATGATGGACTGAGTCAGGGTGGATAGGCCTGAGCCCATTGGGCCAAAATTTATTCGGGTTATCATTTGAAAAGGTGTAAGCCCAATCCGTTGTTAAGAAATAGCAATTTTTTTATGTGGATAAATGGGAGAAAATAGGCTTTATAGTATTTTTTTTTATTTTTTTTTTCACACTCCTGAGTCCTGACACTTGAACTAAGTAGCTTTTTTAGATTGCTATTGGGATATCATTTCAATTTCAAATTTTTACTCTGATTGTGAGAAACCACAGCCAACAGGCAAACAAGAAGGTTGAAACAATTACAAACAAAAATAACCAAAGTGTCACCTTCTAAACTCTTCCAAAAAAAAGCATCACTTCACATTTGCATCTCAGGATTTTTCTAAGTCATATCCTCATAAAATGCTTTGACAAAATGATTTCAGACAATAATCAGAAGGAAAGTAGAATGATGAGGAAGACGATCGAAACCAAGATTTCAACAAGCCCTCGGATGAATTTCGATTCACGTCTTGCGTGAACAAGCTTACGCCACAGATGGAGAAGATAAGCTGCCATCAACACGAGCAAAGTCCAATTCTCTTCGCTTTCATCGACAATCTTTATGCGTGAAAAGATGACCATGCAGTTTACTAACATGATAACCGAGTCTATGCTGTTAATAAACAACCTTTGCCAAAGTTTTCTGTTGGGCAAGTACAAAATTAAGATNATCAAAAGATGTGCAATTATGTGTTTGTTTTATGTGTTGATGAATGTTGTTCTCCTTTTCATTTCTTTCGTTTTGGTTACTATCTACAAATAGTGATACCTTTAATAGTAGCCTGATTAAAGGGGAAAAAAAAAAAATAATTGTTCTCTATACTACATTTGTTTCTCTTTCACAAGCTGAGCCTTCAAGAGGACTTATATGCATACTATCAATCTAAAAATGTGTTCGTAACATCATGAGCATACACGAAAAAGATATAACGATAAATATACATAATTAAGCTAAACGACCAGCTAGTTTTCGTAACAATGGCAGCTATGAAACAGTATACATATGTGCACATATTTGCAGTCAAAAGTAACATTAATAAGTAATACCTTCTATGGACACTCTCAGCTTTATGGGGTCTTTCCTCAGAATCCATGCTTCTTACATTAGTTACATATGCCTCTTCAGAAGCTAAATCCTTCACGACCTAAACAAAAAATAAATTATCACACCATCAAACAACTGAAAACATGGAAGCAAGCAACTTCAATTATCATTAAAAAAAAAACAGAGGAAAAATAAAAAACAGGGCAAGTACAGAGCCATACACCAAGATTTAAGGCTACTTTCGGCACCGCAAGTAAAGAAACACCTGCATTTCTATCAACAGCCGAAAATCTCGACTCGCGATTAAACCAAGGCCCGTGAGCCCATGAATCGGCACGCAACCAAGGCCCGTACTTAACGTCTCCCGATGGAAACCTGCAGGTTCTATAGCTATTGCCAATCAGCCCACATTTGTAACAAAAAACACCGAGCTTTTCATACTTGAAATCGACCCATATAGGATGCGACCCGGCCCGTTCGAGCCAAAACCCGGTTGCCAATGGCTTCAAGACATCCAAAACAACTCTCAACCTTAGAAAATTCCGGTAAGGTAATTTCCCACTACACACAACTTCCCAATCAGTGAACACGAACTGGCCCACAAGCTGGCCCATACTCGGCCCGTTTTGGGCCGTCAGATAGTCCGCCGGGAGCCCATGGGCCTGAACCCAAAAGAGGGACCGCGAGAATCTGAGGTCGCGCGGGGAGCCGCCTGGAGGGCAAGCGGACAGCATTAAAAGACCGCCCATGATAGTCCAAGGTCGGTTTTTTAAGGCATTGGCCAGATCTTGCTTGTCCTGAAAGACAAACATGAACAAATTGCGGCTGATTTGGGATACGGTGAGGCCATTTTCACATTTCCATTCGCCGCGCACGAAGGATCTCACAAGGGCTTCGTCCAACTGCTTGTAAAGAAGGATTTTTCCGATTAAACAGTTCTTTTCGTAAATTTTGGTGAGTTCTTGGTCCGTTTCGACGTTTTTGGCCGAAAGCTGGGATCTTTCCATGTTTGGTCTGTGAGAGAATATTGGGTCTGGATAAAAAATGAAAAGGGGGTTGTTGGGAGAGAGATAAAAATGGCGGATAGTGAAGAGAAAAAAAAAGTTGGCGGAAAACGAGAAGGGTTTGGCATTATTCATACAAATAGGGAAAGTGTAAACATGGTTTTTTAACCTCTGTATAGTATAGGACACGAAGATGGAGAGAGATAAAAATGGCGGATAGTGAAGAGAAAAAAAAAGTTGGCGGAAAACGAGAAGGGTTTGGCATTATTCATACAAATAGGGAAAGTGAAAACATGGTTTTTTAACCTCTGTATAGTATAGGACACGAAGATGGATAGAGCAGATAGGTAGCTGAGGGTAGGACACTATATTTGGCAGCTGTGTGCAGAGCGCTGCAAGGAGAGGGTTTAATGCATTTTGGCCTTTTTTGACAGGTTTTGAAAATGCTTTTCAGAAACGAGGTTCGGAGAGTTGAATTGGAAGTGGACATGTTTTGACTTTTGAAGATGATGTTTACTTTAGCATTTGGGCAAGAGAGGAGTATTTTGTTCACAAACTCTCTTCATACATGTGAGTCTAATCGTTAGTTGGGTCAGTCCTTTAATTTTTTCTATGAAATGCATAATTATATTATACTATGAAATGATATTGGTTATATTATTTTTTTAGAGTATGATATTTCAATTTAAAAGTATGCAAATCTTTTGAAAAAGTATGTCTGTCTAACAATAACATGACCTATATTTTGGTGGTTCGATTTGATTTTATCTAGTACTTTTATTGTAGACTCATCTAACGGTTAGATTACTTCATAAAAGAATTTGTGTTTTTCGATATATGGTTGGTACAGATATAAACGACCGAGCTGAGCTTGGACTAGAGCCTTTATCAAGTCGAGTCTATGAACGAACTTAAGTTTGATTCGTTTATCAATATTAACGAATTGGACTCAAACTTTACAAGTCTAGTTATAGTAAATTGCATAAAATGCCTTATTTTTTAGTTTGACTCGGTAACTAAATGAGTCTTAAACAAATTCGAACTCCCTCATTTATCAAACACACAAAGGGCAAATTTAATTTTACAGCTTTGATGAGGGCGGTGAATGATATTGTAGGTGGTGTTAGGGGGGTCAATAGCCAAAAATTAACCGTGATAAACTAAAACCAAAATTTCAACAAATTTAATTATAATGGATTATATTAATTTTTACTCTACGGATCAGAACTTAGAATTTCCATTTGAATACTTTTCTTCGTAATATGGTTTTTATGTTTTGAACCTATAATCTAGCTTTTCTTAAAATTTGAGATATTTTATGAGTATTAGAAATCAAAAAAATTATTTCATTTTTCAAAATCAACAACTGAGTGTGAAATTTTATGAATTTATATTTGAGAACTGAACATATGAGTATATGAAATTTAATAATTCTCTGACAAGAAAGTAAGATATACGATATTGTCCAATTTTACACTGTAATACAAAACTTTTAATTACCTACAAGTGTGAAAAGGTTATTTTTAATCACAACACACTTAAAATAACTTGTTTGGTAAGAATTCGGTCATATTCTAAGGGTATGTTTGGTAAAATTTGATAAGTTAGTTGATAACTGATAAACCACCTTATAGTTTATAAGTAATTTTTGAGTTTATATCTTATATCTTCTAGTTTATGATTTATAGTTTAAAAGTTAGTTTATATGATAAAAGTGTTTGATAACATTAGCTGATAAGTTAATTGAAATAAAATTTCAACAAGCTTATTTGAAAGCTACACAAAGAAGATTATGAAATAAGCTCGAGTTTTTTTAAAAGAAAAAAAAAATCGTCCTACCAAACGAAGTTAACTATTTGAATACAGAGGGCTTACAAGCTAATCAAATAACATATAAGCTAGCTTGTTTGGTTACCAAACATAGCCTATATCTTGTGTTCTTGCCTTTTAATTTCCATCTTGATATGTGCTGTTTTTTTCAAAACGACAAATTTATTAACTAAAACAAATAACTACAATCGGCTAACTAGTCAGAATAAGAGAACTACACAAGAGAGTCTAAATACTACAACAGACATTACAAGACCAAAAGAAAAATAAAAAACTCCCCCAAGGAGAATACATATCCCAACTAAAGAATAGCATGCTCCCAAAAGAAGAATAACACAATCCTATCCAGGAGAACATTTTAATGTGCTTGAGTGCTTGAGTAATGCTTTATATGAATCATCATAAGATTCCATAGTGTGATCAATTCAAATCTTTGATAACTCCAATACCTCGTTAGTTGAATTTCGCAATCTAATGAATCAATTAAGCAAAGAAAATGTTAATGATCCACATCACCCAACCCAACTTATGCCATTGAGATCGGGTTTGAAATGCCCAAGTCAAAGTTATGTTTGGTAACTAAATAAATTAGTTTATAACTTATTTGGTTAGCTTATAAGCTTACTATATTCAAATAGGCTTTGTTTGATAGGATAAGTTTTTTTTAAAACCTCGAGCTTATCTGATTAACTTCTTTGGGTGACTTTTAAAATGAGCTCGTTGAAGTTTTTATTTCAGCTAGCTTATCAATTAATTTTACCAAATACTTTTGTCATATAAACTAGTTTTTCAACTAGAAATCATAAGTTATAAGATATAAAATTGAAAATCACTTATAAACTATTAACTAGTTTTACGAAAAACATAGCTCAAATTTCTAGAAGAATATACACAAACAGCAATAGAGGGAGAAAGAGGAAGAGTATATAAAAACTACAAAATTCCATATCGTGAAAATTCCACAAAGAACATTANTATTCTAATTTCGCCATTTCCATCCAAGCTTGAGCTCTTTATACATAAGTTTACCACAAGCTCTTATAAATAGAGCTCAAGTCGACTCGTTAAGTTAAAGGTAAACGAGTCCAGTCGAGCCGAACCAAGTCAAGTTCAAGCCTCAACAAGCTGAGTCGAGACAAGATCATAAGCAACCCTTTTCATTTAACAACTTCATTCACCAATCACCATCTCTTTGCGGCGATAAAGATGATGACGTCACTGATGACGAAGAGGAGCTCAAAAGCTGTTCCAAGTACTCGACCCCCAAATCCTCCAACACCACCACATTTTTCACTTTATTATTATTATCACCACAATCGCCCCCCAAATTCCCGGTATTTCTCTTCCGGCCCCGGGACACCCTCACCCTCATCGCGTGCCTCCTCTTCAGGGCCACCGCCGGCGAGAATCCGCCGTCCTCCTCCCCGACTAACCCCCGCAGGGACTCCCTCACCGCCTCCGCCGGGAAGTTCAGCACCGCCGCGCAGCCCCTCATCGCGAGCGCCGCCTGGTCGTACGCCAGGGCCGCCGCCTCCGCGCTCTCGAACGTCCCCAGCCAGACCCGGACACCGTTCCGGGTCGAGTCTCGGATCTCCGCCGCGAACTTACCCCACGGCCGCCGCCTCACGCCCCGGTAGGCTCTCCCCAGCCTCTCGCCGCGCGAGCTGACCTCCGATTCCTCCCTGGATGGGAGCTTGGAATCCGAATTGGAGTTCGAATTGGAATTGGAGTGGGTTTCCGATGGAGCTATGGCGGCAGCGGCGGCTCCCTGGGCTAAAACGCCGTAGAGTAGCATTTCCTGTGGGTCGTTAGGGTTGAAGGGGAGTGAAACGTCGTCGTATTGCCAATAATGCGATTGGGGAAGAAAGTAGTCCGTAGACTGAGCTTCACTTTCCATTTTTCTTTTTTCTTTTTTCTTTTTTCTTTTTTATGTGTGTGTTAGTTTGCCTTTGAGTGAGATAATAATTTTGAACTTATGGGGGTATATATATACCTGTGAAAAATAGGGAATTTTGTTTAGTGGAAAATGGAATTACAGTTTTATTAAAGAAAAAAATGGAAAGGAAAAAAAAGTAGATGATGGGGAAAGGTGAAATAACAAATGAAATTAAATGAGATGAAAATATCGATTCACCTGTGAAGTAATGGGTTTAATGCACCAAACTCCCCTGTATTATACGAAATCTGCGCGTTTCCCCCCTGTATTTTAAAAATTGCGTCAGACCCCCTTCTATTAAGGTTTTGTATGCGCGAAACACCCAAAATCGTCTAAAATTTGGGTGTTTCGCGCATACAAAACCTTAATAGAAGGGGGTCTGACACAATTTTTAAAATACAGAGGGGAAACGCGCAGATTTCGTATAATACAAGGAGGTCTTGTATATTTTACCCGTGAAGTAATTGAGTACTAGTATAACAACACTAGTGTATTACATCAGTGTTTGTTAAAAAAATTATTTTTAAATTTTAAAATTAATAAGAAAAAGTGTTTTAAAATTTAAAATTTTTTTTACAAAAAATATATGTTATTATATATTTTAGAATTACACTTTTTACTTATGCAACTTACATGTGTTATATTATAATAATTATTTTAACTTATATTATATAACTACTTTAAACATAAATATATTAATTGATAAATGGTTTTATTTTTCTAATTAATAGTAATAAATAATTTTATTATTGTTAAATATATTTATTTTATACATACAATATGGATGTCAAACCGAAACTCATCAATAGATGATTAATTTGATACATTATATATGTAAAACTGATAAAAAACACAAACTTATTAACTTTTAAAATGCATATATAATTATGAAATGATATTACAATACAATTATCAATGATATGACTATAAATAATCAACATATTTAGAGCCACCCCAATGCTGCTTTAGAATAGCGCAAAAAGCTGAAGTAGCGTGAAAAAATATCTCCAAGGCAGCGCTATATTTTAGCGCTAGATCAGATAAATAAACAGTACCGCGCCAGTTCTAGCGCAGTACTGTAGCAGAACGCCAGAATTTTTTATTTTTTTTTCTTTTTTTTTAATGTATTATTAATGATAAATTTTTGTATAATGTATATTAATAAATATGTTTTTATGTTAAATAACTTTGTGCAATGTATTTTTATGCTAAATAATTTTGTACTTTTTATTTATTAATGTATTATATTTTTATTTTGTAATTTTTTAATATTAAAATAGTACCACATGAATAAAAGTTTAACACATTTGAACAAGTAAATTTGCACTAATTCATATATGATCTAAACCATATACGGTCTAGTGTGTAAACTTGCACTAATTCATATATTTTCAAAAGTAATAGTTTTGATTCAATCGGTACATAGATATATATGTATCTTCTTTAAGAAATTCAATTTATTATAATCATTTTTTAAATGTGAAATAATAGTATTGAGGAAAATAATAATACTTTAAAGGATGTATATTAATTTTATTTTGTAATTTTTTAATATTAAAATACCACCAAAAATGAATATAAGATGAAATATACATATATTAGAATTTATTTGAAATAAAAATGAATAAAAAAGATAATAAGTTTGAATCAACCGTAGGATTCTTATCTAAAGATCAATGGCTAAGATCATATATATACATAATAAAATTTGCATAAGATATGGTCTAAACCATATATGGTCTAGTGTGTAAATTTGCACTAATTCATTCGGATGGGTTAAACCATATATGGTCTAGTGTATAAATTTGCACTAATTCATATATTTTCAAAAGTAACAGTTTTGATTCAATCGGTACATAGATGTATATGTATCTTCTTTAAGAAATTCAATTTATTACTATTATTTTTTAAATGTGAAGATATGGTCTAAACCATATATGGTCTAGTGTGTAAATTTGCACTAATTCATATATGGTCTAGTGTGTAAACCATAATTTTTTTTTTATTTACTATTTGGGTAATAAACATTTATATAATATTACATATTCATATATATAGCAAATTATTCGAAATAAAAATAAATAAAATATATATTTATTATTTGAGTAATTAACATTTTATATAAAATTAAATATACATATATATCAATTTATTTGAAATAAAAAATGAATAAAAAAATAATATATTTAATGTAGAGTAAAATGTAGAGATAAGGGCTGGAGATGAATTTTCAACTCTACTCTAGAGTAGAGTAAAGTCCGCGCTAGAGTAGAGATAAGGGCTGGAGATGGCCTTATAGATAATTCAAACTTAATTATTTTTGAATTAAAAGTAAATTAAAATATATCCAAGTTAAATAATGAAGAATGAAATTTTGCCACATAAAATCTTAAAGCATGCGAACCTGCCACTTAGTCTTAGCACATACGGGAATTATAGATAAGGTTGATATCTTTTATTTGTTATTTCAAAATTATATCATGCTATGTATTTCTCTTGGCCACTCAACTTAAGGTGGAGAGTTAAATTTGATGTTTTTGTAATTATTTCTTGCAATTTTTAATATACTATTTATTATTTCTCTCAAAAATAAAAATAAAAAATAAGAAGAAAACAGAGATGCTTTTACCGAGATGGTATTTACAGAAAACGATGAACCCAAGTGGTAGCTTCGCATGATTAGTAATCTTCTATGACAAAATATTACGTTATATAATATTGTTTGGATAAACATTACTAATTTTTTATGCTAAGTAGTTTAGGTTTGGATTGCCATAAATACACATATTTAATATATTTAAACTATTTCATATAAATCTATTTATTATCTTCTTTCTACAATGTGCATATCACTTTTCGTGTTTTGTCCATATTATTCTCTAATGTGTTTTAATAAAAAATTTATAAACAAAACTAATGATATATATATATATATATATATATATATATATAAATTAGTTTTCAGAATTTAAAACAATATTGTTAATTCACTTAGTTTTTTATTATAAATTATTATACATTGTTCCTAATTTCATACTACATCAGCTAGTAAACATATTTGGTTGATCGTTCATTGAAGTTCTTCTACTTGGGCACATTAATATATTAGTTTTGCTATGGAGCCATCAGATGGCTCGGCTTATGGAGCCATCCACACTTATTCACCAATAGTGTATTAACACGTGTCCTGCAATAAATACACTTTGAACATGTGTCAATATATTAAGTGGTGGATGACTCCATAAGAAAATCATCCGATGACTCCATATAATTTTTTATTAATATATACCCACCAGCCACGGCCAAAATTTAGTGATCTTTATTATTATATCCATCATAAAGAGTATGCTAATTTTTCGACACATCAACTACAAAGTTCATGATTATAAATCATAAGTTTGAAGATAGAAAATCCATGTGTTGGGAAAAATAAAATGGATCATGAATTTCATTATAAATTGGAGATATTGATCAATAATAAAATCCTATGACCATCTATATGTTAAAACCATTATACACAAATTAATTGTCACCTTTTTGTGACTGAACTTGCATTATTTATTTGGGATTTTATGCGGTGGCATTAAAAGGAAATGGGCCATACACTAATGGTTAGATTAGTGCAGATATTATTAGATGAAACTAAGGTTTTGTCGCGTATTGGCGGCGACATTTCAAGTGGCCGTTACGCTGGTCGAAGTTTATGGTCTTTTTTGCTTTGACTGTTTTTTTAGCACAATTTTTGGAGAGATAAAAACTAATTGTTAAGCGAGTCATTTTGTTATATTATGTAAACAAAAATATATATATTTATACTATCAAATCTATCTATATATAAAGAGGTTGTTGGAAAAATATATTAATAAAAAGTTTGACGAAAAAAAATAATGTTTGACTTACTATTTGTAGAAATTTAGAAAAAAATACATGTGAATCTTTAATAACAAAATCTGAATCCTATTTTTTTGGTAACAAATTTGGAGATTCTTATGGCAAAATTTAAATTCTATTTTTTTCATATCATTTTTTGTTTTATTTTTTATCAAAATTTGAATTCTATTTTTTTCGTAACAAATTTGAAGATTCTTATGCAAAAAATGTGTCAATTATTTACAAAAACAATTCTAAATACAAATTAATTAAAAAAACTGTGCCAATTGGATATAAATTTATTAAACAAATAGTTTTAGAATTCTTAACAAATTCTTCCAATTTTTTTGAATAATTTTTTTTTTTTGCAAAATGTGTGCAAATCGGATAAAACCACGTGAAAATTTTATTTTAAATCAAAATTGAGATTTGGACAAGATATATATTCAAAATCGTTTCCACATTTTTTTTATAACAAAATCGGTTCATCATTGATATTTAAAGTCACATCTTATCAAATTATTTAAAAAAAAATTCAAATCGGATTTAAAATCGTGGGAAACTTTTACAAGGGAAAACCGTGTGAAAATTTTCAAAATTTGAATGCACCGATTTTTTTGGATTCTTATGTTTTTCTTAACTATATTTTAACGCGATTTTGGTAAGTTCATATCAATTTTTTTTAAGAAAAGAATCAGTTACATAAATGTTAACAAACTGTTTTGATTTTTTTATTAGAACTAATTTTAATTCAAGTTGTTTAGTAAAAAAATCAGTGTAATATTAGAAAATCTCAGTTTCATTTTTTAGGAAAAATTAATGATTCATTTTACTTTGTTTTAACCAAATTTTCGGATCAATTTATTTGGTAAAAAAGTCAATGTATTGGTAGGAAAATTGGTTTCATTTTTAAGAAAAAACTAATGATTCTTTTCAATTTTTCTTTATCAAAATTTCGAACTAGATTTAGAAAATAAATAAAATGGCATAAAATCCCTAAAAAAGTATTCTTTTTTCTACTAGAATTTTGTATAATAATTAAGATCCCTTAATTTTTTAAAATCTACTTTGTTAACTAATAATATGCAATT